AATTTTGGGTGGAACTGACTCTGCCCTCACTTCTAGGGGTGGGCTACCAGAACATGATTTCTTTGTGGCCCACAGTTATCAACTGAGAGATGGTAATGTGACCCAAGTCAAGTAATTCAAGTATGTATTTTTTTAACTTTAACAGTCTTGTTCTGTAGCTTAACACTGGTCTAAACACTTTATAATTATTAACGCATTTCATATTTGTAATATATGGAAAGGACGGTGCCATCATCAGCCACTGTACAGATTAGGGAGCTTGGGACGGAAAGGCTAAGTCGTTCACCCATGGCTGTATAGCTGATAAGGGACAGAGCTGGGATTTGAATCTGGGCAAGCTGAGCTGAGAGTCCATGCTCTATACCACTATACAATATACCTGAGTACCTATCTGAGCACCTAGAAAGGAGGCATTCTCCCTTCTAGTGGATGTAAGCTGTGGGGCTGAAACCTAGATGTAGACAATGCAGGTAATGGAATCCCTGACCTGAGGTCAGAGTGCTGGGCCTTTGAACCTCTGAATCAGCCCAGGCCATTCTGGGAGAGGTGAAACTCCAGTCCCTTAGCCATGGCAATGACTGGCTGTGAGGCATCAGCAGTTAAGGGAATGAGTGGCTGGGTCAGGAGAGAGGATGTGAGTTATATGCTCCAAGCCTCCATTATAGTCCTTACTCATCTTACTGTCTGGATTCAAATCCTAATCTTTCTGGCTCCAAAATCCTGGCCACCTCCACTGCATGTCCCCGTTACCATGACCATCAAGCTGGTGATGCACCTTGGGAAAGCTAAGGATCCTGTGTCCAGCTCCAAAAGCAAATATGCTTCCATCACACTCACAGCTGGATCTCGTCTCTGGAAAATATATTCTCCCAAGTAAAAAGATGCAGCTACTACTGACAAATATTACTACCTTGCATATTTCCCAGGTAGCCTATTAGGAAAGGGGTCATGCTGAGTAGAAATTTATGAACAAAATGATGAGAGGACAATAAAAAAACTTCATAGGAATCCTTCCAGCTGTGCCAAGCACAAATAAATAGAAAGCATTTTTACACTTTGCCAACTAACTCAGACAGACTTGAAGGAAGAAAAGTTATTAGTTAAGGTTGAAAGGAAATTGGCAAGAAATGTATATGGCCTGAGGCATCTTTGCTCAAGAGTAGAACTCAATGTCCTTCCAATTAAGCGTGCTTATACTAGACGACCCTTTCCCCCAATAGAATGACCCTTTCCCCCAATCTTCCCCCGTCCCACCCTAACATTTTCTCTCTTTCTCTCTCTCTTCTTTCTCCCCTAGCTCATGCATACTTAGAATGCGGCACCCTGCTCATGCCATGCTGTACATTCATGGTTGTGTCCGCTTGGTCCTTCTTCCTGGGGTCTGCTCCTCCCTCCACTCCTAGTGGGGGACGGCTGCCTGCCTTTAGAGGGGCACACTTGACCTAGCCCTTCTCTAGAATTTTTTGGTTTGGAACCAAGGAAAGAGACACAGATCCTCTTTAACGGTGAAGAATCAGACGTAAATCCAGGCTCCTCAGCGGTTATGTTGACTGCTGTGTGAAAACTAAAAACGAAAATCTGAAACCAACCTGCAGAAAAAGGGAGGGGTGAAAGAGAGTGCCAGCGGCACGCCCTGCTCCCAGGGGTCCCCAAACCAACCACACCCTTGTCTCACTGGAGATTGGTTATGTGAGTCTCACATTCGTACCTTTGCCCAAGCTAGCCAGAGTTACAGTTCTGTCCCCAGAGTTACAACGCATCCTAGATTCATAAAAACAGATGGGCCTTTGAGAGGATATTAGGTATAGTCCTCTGTCTCCAGGTAAGAAGGTCCTTAAAATAAGGTGGCTAAGATACTTAAGCCTCCCCAAGGAAAGAAACCCCACTTTTTCTTTCACATCCTTTATTCGATAGTTAATTAACTTTATGATTAAGTATTTCCTGTTTTTCTCTTAGCCTCTATGTCTTTCGAGCTTCTTCTCTAGAATAGAACCCTGATTCCCCACCACCTGAGGTCACCAGGTAGGCTCAGGAAGTACCACTGAGATGTGACGAGCCCTTGTTTGCATGGGTCATGGGGTGAATTTGTTCCTCCTGTTCCCTCTCCAGAAGTCTCAAGGTCTTCACTTAGAAGATATTCTCATTCGATGCCTATACTGCCCTGGATAGAACCTCATGGGAGACTGGCAATAAAATCATTTAATTAGCTGATAATAGAAAACAGATCGGCACTGTTTGTATAACCAACCTTCTTTTACTTACACACAGAGAATTCATTGTCCTGTGGCTTTCTTCCAAACATATTTAAACATTCTGCACAAGACCGAATTCCATCCTTTCTTTTTACAGTTTTTTTCCCCCTTCTTTTTGGGATCTCATTAGATAGTTTAATCTTTCTCAAAATGTAGAGCTCAAACCTCAAAATGATATGTGGGTGAGGCCCTGAGCAGCAAGGGGAATTATTTCTCAACTCCTGGATGCCAGGCCATTAATACATCCCAGTATTAAGTCTGAGTTTAAAATAACATGGTGACCTTTCCCTCTACTCTCAAGGACTTTCTGAGTCAAAACACTCAGGGCTCCCTGACAGTGTCTCAGGAGATGAATGCCACCTCGTTGATAAAATGGGTACCAAAGCCCCTGGCCCATACCCAGTACAGTTCTCACGTCTCCCATGACAAGGATCAATGTAGGGCCAAAAGTGCCACCATTCTTCCGGGGACCCACTTAAGGCCCAGTCTCCTCTGGGGCCACTTTGATTTTTGAGGAGATAAGCTGGAAGCCTCTGACAGGTTCCTCGTTCTTTGGGACTAGCCAGAGTCTGAATAGACCTGTTTGAACAGCTGTGATCCCAGGCACATTAGTTCTTAATATCCATTCGGTCGGGAATTTTTGATACGTCTTGGGAATCCTTTCTATGCCAAGACCAGGCCCTTCCTTGCTTCAGGGAAGGAAGGCTTGGGGAGCATAAAAGAGATACAGGTGTCCACAATTCTCCCATCTTCTGGATCCCTACTGGTTTCCTCCATCCATGGGGAAGAGGAGGCTCACAGCTGTCAAGAAGCTGGTACAGCTGGGAAGGCTGGGAGCAGCCTTGGCCTTAGGCAGCAGGCTGATTATTATAGGGCCTAAATGAAGTCAGCAGAGGATCAGGAGTGGTTTTCGTTTGTTTGCTCCAACTAGCAGGTTAAAAAAGCCTAAGGCAGGTGTATTTGACAACTATTAACAAATAGTGTATTTGACAACTATTAACAAATCTATAACAATAAACCCCTTAGACACAGGAGAAATCAACTTCCCAAACCCTCCTAGTCCAAAAGGGCTAGAGAAATGCAATGTATTTTAGAAGGTTTGTCAATGACTTTTCATAAAAGTAATATATTGGATTTCCCACTTAGATTGCTTACTAAAGGGCCCTGGGTAGGTGCGGATATGAAGCCATTGGTAGCACAGTAGCCCAGAAGACAGCGTGGGATGCCAAGCCCGGGGAATTGGGAATTCCTTCTCCTTCCTCACTCTGACCCCTGCTACTGCTGCTGCCAAGGTCTGAGCCCTCATCATTCATTATGTGAGTTTTCTATATTTGGAAACAGTTTGGTGGAAAATTTTCCACACTTAGAAAGTCTTTAACTCTGAGTCTTTAATACATACATTCTTCCATGCCCTTACTTAATGCATTGAAAGGTTTATTATTGAAAAAGTTCATTTTGGATGCAGTGGAACTAGGAAGACACAGGGAGTCTGCCAACCCCAGAGGTTCTGGTCTCTGATGTGAGGAAGATGCTAAACGCAGACCTAAGGGAGTTTCTTAAGCTCTGCTGCAAGCAGCTGGCTCTGCCTCTCCTCCAGGCCATTTGTTGTGACTTTTGGAGGATGGGATGGAGATGGGGCGGGGGAGGGAGGGAGCTGCCTTTCATGGGTGGAGTAAGTGTTCCCTGTGCTTCCACAATTAGGAGCCTGGCTCAGGCTCTGAAAGGTTTCTTCTATTCTTCACTCCCTCATGCTAGAAATGAGCAAGTCATACAAGCAAGTCAAGAGGTGTTTTTGTTTTGTTTTGTTTTGTTTTTTAAAATTTCTTACTTATTTCTCATGACAAAAGTAAGACATGTTAACTTCAGGAAAATACAGATAAGGAAAAGCAAAGGCACCAGAATTTCCTCACCTCAGAGAAATAACTATTAATACCTACTCAGGTGTACATCTTCCCCAACCTCCACCTGTGCACATACAATAATGAAATAACTTACGAGGGCTCAGGCTCCGGGCTGCGTGGTTTACAGCCATCATTCCACGTACTCTGCACAAGCCTACTTACTGGTCATTCCGCTGTGTCCCAGCATAATGCATGGTCGGAAGGTGGGCTCTGGAGCCAGACTGCTGGAGGACCAAGGCCTGATCTGCCGCCCATGGGCTGTGAGATCTCAGCAAGTCAGTCAATGCTCTAGGCCTCTGGTCTGCACCTGTCAGTTGCAGGCAGTAACAGTGTCAGCATCACATGGGTTGCCCAGAGGACTACCTGAGTCAATACGTGTAAAATATTTACTGCTTGCTACCGCTGAGTGCCCGGCTCATGGAGTCTCTGATGATCTCCTTTTCAGAGATAATGGAAATGTGTTCAGGGAAGTCAGTGATTTGGCTGAGATCCCATAAGCATTAAGTGATAAAGCCAGGTGTGAAACTTAAATCTCTTCTGACTCCGGGTTCTTTATGATATTATACACGTGTGTGTGTGTGTGTGTGTGAGAGAGAGAGAGAGAGAGCGAGAGAGAGAGAGAGAGAGAGAGAGAGAGAATTCCCACAACTGAACTCTATCGTAAACATCTTTGGGTTACTGTATAATAAACACTCCAGCTCCTGCATGTGCCCTGGACCTAGTCTCAGTCAGTGAGTAGAGTCTTGGGAGCTGACACAGGCCTGGCTTCATTCACAGCTATGCTGCTCAAGCTATAACTGATCAAGAGTCCAGCAGGCTCTGGTTAAGATGCAGATTCTGAGTCAGGAGGTCAAGTGGGAGCCTGAGACTCTGCATTTCCAACACATTCCCAAGGGAGGTGGTTGCTGCTGGTCTGGGAACCACACTGCAGCAAGGTTTTCGAGAATTTTGGCCAGTGGATCTGCTTTATCCTGTGCCTTCCTCCTGCTGACTCTTTTGTTTACACAAGTCACCTCCCACCTCTACTCACGTCCTGAGTCTGAAATTCTGAATCCATCTGCATTGCTCATGACAGCGTCAGAGCTCCTGAGGAGGGCTCCCGGGCTGGAGCATGGGTGGGCCCTCCTCCCCCGGGGAGTGCTGAGTCCCAGTGTTCCCAGTCGACAGTCTCAACCCTGGGGAGCTTTGCACAAACACTGCTGGGGCTGCGTCTGATCTGCATTGTCCGAAACCCCCCCAAGAAAACAAACATCCCCTCCGGAGCCAAGCACAGGGGCTGGTGGGGATCGTGAGGGCTGCAGGAGGCACCGCTTGGTGAAGCGGTCATCTACCTCCTACCAACAGGCCGTGGGGACACTCCCCACTCTGAAACCTCTGCAGTGCTGATGTCATCTCTCAAGCCCACGGCAAGACAAATCACTATTCTGCCACGTTTTCATCCGGTGCCATCTGGAAGCCCAGCCCTCACACGGGACAGCCTCCAGAATATAAAGAGGAAGTTACCCTTGACCCGCTCTGTGGAAATTCCGGACAGTGGCCGAGAGTAGACAAAGGAAGAACTCTGAGAGTGGCAATGCGGAGTAAGTGATTGTTTCTGGGAGTGGGACAATCCGAGCCACCCAAACCCCAGACGTGAAGGGAAATTCAGTCTTCAAAAGGTCTTTCATCGTAATTTTTCCATGATGGAACCAGCTTCTCACTTAGTTGTTTATCCCAGCAGATACCAGGTAGGTCCTGACAAAACGAGAAATGTGGGGAATGACACCCTGAGAATTAGGAATTTCTCTTCCCTTTCTTCCTCAGGAAACCCTCTTTCCACAGCAGGCAGAATTTGTGGGTGTTGCTTGAGTTTGCTGCTGTTTTCACCTCTTTAGAACTAGCTCCCTCTCTAGGAATTTTCCACGGGGAAATAAACCTCTAAGCCTCATACTAGCAAAGTACACTCATTGTTACCTCAATTAGAACGAGTGAATTCCTTGGAAATTCCCATGGCCTTGGCCCAGACCTGAATGGGGCGGGTTTGAAAAGTTCCGGATTCCCTTCTTTCCGCGCCAGCCAAGGGCACGTTTCCCCGGCACAACATCATGCCCCCCTCAAAATATAAACGCCCTGGATCGGAGGCCTCTGTGAGCCCATTTAGGTCCTGAACTTATCGTGAGAAGACCCAATGTCAAAAATAAGTGGAGCAGCAAGGTTATTTATTAAGCTGAGCCTGCAGTGTTGGGGAAACTTCCTGTTATCAGGTATCTGAGAATGCGGTCAGGTCGGGTCCCTCCAGGCCTGTGAGCAGGACACTGACTGGGAACCACAGGTCTGATTGCTGGGGCAGCACCTGGGCAGAAGAGCACAGCTAGGGGTCAGACTCAGACTCCATGTCAGGCCTGCACCCCACCCTCCCTGGGCTCTGTGACCCCTCTGAATCCATGGTTCTTAAAAATGGTGATAATGATACCTGCCCTACCTTTCTCCTGAGAGTAAGAAAGCATACTTAAAAGTGATTTCAAGCCTGTAAAGCAGTGGTCCCCAACCTTTTTGGCACCAGGGACCAGTGCTCCTGTGAGAATCTAATGTCTGACGACCTGAGGTGGAGCTGAGGCGGTGATGCCAGCGCTGGGGAGCGGCTGCAAATACACATGGAGCTTTGCTTGCTCGCCGCTCACCTCCTGCTGCGTGGCCCATCTCCTAACAAGCCACAGACCAGTAACCCGGCCCACGGCCCAGAGGTTGGGGACCCCTGCTTTAAAGTGTACTCCGTGCATAAAGTCCAGGCTTATTATGAAGATTAAATTAAATGAGAATGTAAAACGCACACACGCAATTGTATTTCAGTAAATATTTAACAACTGGCTTTCTAGAGAGGAAAATGCCCCGATTTTTAGCATTTGCCAGTTTCTGTGCTGTAAACATTCCCACCTTGGTTGATGTCAAACACCAGTGCGACGTCATTGAATATCAAGTTGAACAGAAATGTGTGTAACTGACTCTCGCCAGGGGACGGAGCCTGTAAAAGCACACCACTGGTTAGGTATTTCACCCCCTCATAGACGAGGCCCTGAGCACAGCACCTGAAAAACGGGAGCACTGACCCCCTCCTTCTCCTGCTCATTATTAATTCAGTAGGAAGAGGTTCTCACATGGGAAAATGGCAGCTACGCTTTCTGCTGACTCAGAATCACTGGATGGTGCATGTTCTCAGCCTCCCAGGTGATCCTAATGCACAGCCCTGACTAGGAAGCCCAGCACCACGCCGCAGCCTCCTCGAGCAAGACTATGTCCAGCTTTGGTTCGTATCCCCAGTTCCAGAACAGGGCCTGACCCATTCGATCCTTCTCTAAATGAAGTGATGGCGGCTCATCATCTACGGCTGAAACGATGCAGAGATGTGTGAGGAACGAGGTCCCTTGCCTATGGCCATTCGCGCCCCTTGGCTTCTCTCCCGTCCTCAGCATGTCATCCCTGCTGACCCGCGTTCCTTCCTAAGTGGTAGCCACATGCCCCCTTCCCATCACCCATCCTGGTTCTGCTGAGTCCCCTCTCGGTCCTCCGGGGCCTGTACCCACTCACTCACTTCTCTGAGTTATCCTCTGTGGAGAAGGAACCATTCCTTCTCCCTGTACTGGGAGCCCCTTAGGCCAGATGCACCAAACTCAGACCAGGAGCGGAGGGTGCGAGTGCATGCATGCTGTCTCTCCACTGTCTTCTGCATCTGCCTTCTTCGTCTAGGACAGTGTATGTCCAGAACAAGCCCTCAGTAAAAGTTTCTTTGAATTAAAAAAAAAAAAGTTACTAGGACAGGACTACAGGAAGGGAGGAGAGGAAGGCATTCCAGGTGAATTAATTAACCAAGGAAAGACCTGAAGTAGTTGGAGTGTCCTTGGCTTGAGTACAATAATAGCAAAGGAAAATTGATTTTTAAGCCAAAAATGTTCACACCTCCATCCATCACTGAATATATGCCCCACCCATTTTTACAGTCTTTCTCTGAATCGTGCATGCCAACATAAACTACCAACTCTCTGGTCTTTCTCAAAGTAACCTGGAGAAAAATGAGAAGGTGGAATTCTCCAGGAATGGAACAAAAATTTCCAAGGCACCTGTTTTAGGTACAAATACAATGACCAAAATTTTCTCAGCCCAAATAGAATAGCCTACTAGGTTCCCTTACTGGGAGAAGGCAACAGCCTGCTTGTAATCAGGGTCATCGTAGAAAACTCCAGCCTTAAAAGCTACAAAAAACAGTCCTGATGGCTGAACTCCTGAGCTGAAAGTTAAATGTTCTTATACACTCAGAACAAGTATGACTTCCCTGATTTTAAGAAAAAGGAGAGAATTAGTGTTTATTAAGCACCTGATACTGAATAGCCTTATGAAGGTTGTGTGCTCAGCACATAAGCACTAAGCCGCACCCAGCCCGGTGAGGTTATGTCCTTGTATCCTGTTGCGGAGATGAGGTACACATGCCCAGAACCTTAGGAGACACACCCAAAAACACGCCATCAGTGAACGGCACAGGCAAAATGACCGTCGGGTCGCCCTGGCTGCAGCCTTGGACATAGATTCCAGATTTACTACTGTTATTGCTTTCCTGTAGGTCTTCCACAATGAACCCCAGGAAGAGTCATCAAGACCACAAGGGAGTAGGCCCCCCTCCTTCGCCTTCCTTTGAAAGGCCCCTCCACAGAAGCGAAGCGTGAGGAGAGAGACAGGAGGAGCAGTGTTTAAGGCAGGGAGGAGGGAGACCAATGACTGGACAGAAATTCTTAAATTCACAGCTATTAAGTCTTTAGGTCTATGGGCTTAACGCCTGGAGGAATGATGTTTAAAAAAAAAAAAAATAGAGGCAAGAAATGATCGTTTAAATAAAAATGGAAGGTATGGTCCCTACTGGCCCTTCATTGTGCAGTGTCCTTGGATTCTCTCAGTCCGAAGGCGTTAGTTGCTGTGAGCCGCACCTGACCTCTGCCCCCACCTCCCCCAGCTAAGGGCCCGGAAGGAAGGGAGTGGGCCTCATTCATCTTAGAACCCTTAGGACCTAGTAGACAGAGTTGCTGGCAGAGAGGAGTGTTAAAAAAACAAAGCTTGTTGAAATAAACTTTTTTCCCCCACCTTTATTCCCAGGATAATCTTTTGGCATCTTTCAACAAACTAACTCCCTTCTCCTCGAGGCTAAGTGTCCCCACTGGTGCCTCCCAGCCCCCTTTGCTTATGCACCGATGCATAACAGGGTTTTAGGACTCAGGGTTTTAGAACTGCAGTAAGAGAATCTGTTTATGTCCTGAGTCACACTATCCATCCCCTAGAGCAGGAACAGTTTATTAGCGAGGTTTATACCCTAAACACCTTGCCTAGTGCCTGATGTACAGGGTGCTTATTAAACAGGCATTAACTAAACATCCATTAATTAGAACTGGCTCTGGCAAAAGTTGCTGGAAAAGTGAGTTTCTAACTTTTGAAATGTTTAAATATACTCTCTGCAACTTTGAGCAGAAAGTCCCATTAGGACAAGCCTTGGGTCAACTAGTTATCAGACATGGCTCTAAACACAGTTCAGATGGCTTAGTTCCTACAATAGGGCTTGCGTATGTCTAGGCATTTGAGTATTCGTTCAGAGCTTCATTCAGAGGTCATTCTGGAATTACCTGTGATTAAACAAGGGGAATGAACATAAACTATTTTAGTATGATAAATTCACAGCCTTACCAAGGAAAAACCAACAAGCCGCATCCACTGTGAGGTGCGATCTGAATGAGCAAGGACCCTGTAGGCTGCTTCCAAACCTCCTGCCCAAATCACAGCATCACAGAAAGCAGAGCTGGAAGCCGGGGTGCTCGTTTCTGTGCTGCAGGGCTTCTTAGAGACTTCCGTCATCTAACGTCCATGGGGGCTCTTTGTGAAGGGATAGGAACGTCTTATTTCCCAGACTTCTTTGGCCGTAGAGTCCTCCTATAGTAGAATTTCTATTAACACCCTCCTGATAACGCTGCACCACATCTTGATCTGCCTTCGCTACGTTCGTTTCCACAGACATTGCTGACCACCTCCTCGCTATGCCCAAGGTGATGCTCTAGGAGCAGGAAGGGCCACTCAGAGAATGATGCACAGTCTGCCTCCTGGAGCTTTTGGTCTCACCTGGGAGATCAGAGAAGGCAGAATCAGACGGGGCAGAAAGGAAACCAGGATGAAGGTCGTCACATGACGAGTACCCTAGGCAAGGCCAGAGTGGTGGGGTGGGGGCGGTGGAAGGTGGGGAGACAGAGTACCCAACTTACGGGGGGTGGCGGGGAGTTGTGTAAGGGGGAGAAAGCCTGAGAAAGTGGTTTGGAGTCACATTATAAACATCGCAAAAAGTTTGTATTTCACGTAGAATTCCAGAAGGTCTTAGAGCAGAGGAGTGGCACAACTACAGCCATATTTTAGGTCATAGAGGCTTCTTAGTGCTTATTATTATACGATCTCTTAGTTCACAAATAAGCCGTGGTCTTCACTCTCTAACACAGTGGTCCCCAACATTTTTGGCACCAAGGACTGGTGCTCCTATGGGAATCTAATGCCTGATGATCTGAGGTGGAGCTGAGGCGGTGATGCTAGCTCTGGGGAGCGGCTGCAAATTCAGATGAAGCTTTGCTAGCTCGCTTGCCTACCTGCTGCTCACCTCCTGCTATGCGGCCCAGGTCCTAACAAGCCACAGACCAGTACCGGTCTGTGTCCTGGGGGTTGGGGACCCCTGCTCTAAAGAGATGAGTGATTTCGACACAATATGGTATACAGTGAGATCATATTGAGTTTAACTTGTATGTCATTTGACCATCTTAGAAACAACAATGAAAAAGTCTTCCAAAGAAGACATATTTTATCATTGTTAATGAACATTACAGATTTATGTTATGAAAGGAAAGATGAAATAGGTGTTAGTTATCTATTGCTGCTTTAAAAAATTGCTAAGATAAACTTAACAACTTAAAGCACTCACATATTATGTCACAGTTCTTGAGACAGGAGTCCAGGGTCAGCTCGGCCGGGCCCTGTATTTTAAGGCCTCCCACCAGACTGGAATCAAGGAGTTGGTCAGGGGCAGGGTCTCATCCGAAGGCTCATCTGAGGAAAGACCTGCTTTCGAGCACAAGTGTTTTTGTCAGAATTGTTTCTCAAGTGCTCTTGGACTGAGGGACGTCCCCAGATCCTTGCTTCCTTTAGGGCTTTGCCGACTGTTGGTGCAAGGCCACCCTTAAGTTCCTGACCCCGTGGACCTCTCCAACATTGTGACCTGCTTTATGAAAGCCAGCAAGGGAGACAGTGCAGAGGGGACAGGAGCCATGTCTTTGGTAACCTAGTCACAGAAATGGCATCCCTTTAATGTTGCCAATATTTTATTGGTTAGAAACAAACTATTCAAGGGAAGGAGATTACGGGACGCCAGTCCTAGGAGTTAGAGCTCATTGGGGGCTCATCGTAGTATCAACCTGACTCATCTATGGGTCACTAAATCCCTAGCTCAAAGTAAACTTATGAGACACTCATAACAGTTTAATAATTATATCCCAAATGAACCTATAGAACTTAAGATCAGTGCAGGAAGCAATTTATTTTGGTGGAATGTCACAGTCAAGGATAGATAACCTTGTGTCTCTGACTGACTCCTTTGTAAGTTGGGACGTTATTTTAAGAACAAGTATGGGGGAGAGAATGTGAACCCCTTACCTCAGTGGACCCCTCTCCCTGCCAGCCACGTCTCTGTCCTCAGGACCAAGCTCAGCTGGTCTGCTTTTATTCAGGTTCTCAGACTCACGCGAGCTCTGGGAAAGGAAAAACACTCTTTTGTTCTACGCAGATGAAATAAGATACTCTTCAGTCTGTCTGATTCATACCCCTTCCTAGGATTGCCTCTTTCACACAAGGAATGTACCAGCTACCTTCCTGAAGATGAGAAACCAAATGCTGTCAGGGATGATTTGTGATTCTTGTGATTCACAGAGGAAGAAAGGAAAGAGATGGGAGGGTTCATCTGGATGTGTGTAGCAGCTGGAGGAGGACAGTAGGATTGGCCAGCTCAGGAGATGGCTCATAAAATACAGTGTCTTTGATCTGTGGGTCACCAGTTTATTTAGGGTTGCCCTGAGACATTCCCTTGAATTATGTGTTTTTGGACTTCTTCCAGAAAAGCTTAAAACCCTGGGTACTTTTTTCTTTTTTCGTAGTGGGTTGGATTTTGATTTATCATTCTCTGTGCAGTTGTGGGTGAGCTTTCACCTTCATTTGTTCTAAAACCATCCAGGCACACATAAGCACTCTCCCTAAAAGCGGTGGTATGGGGATCCTGCCAAGATGTGGCCATTGGGGTTCCTATTACAACCTCGAGGGAAATCACCACCCCAGCCAGAGCTGTGAAGTGGAGGGTCTCAAGGCCTTGCTATTCAGCTTGGACATCAGACATCAACAGGGACATTTTCCATCAAACTACAGAGCCCAGAGGAAATGCCACAGGATATTAAACATGTCAACACCATGCTTTTCAAGAAGAAATGTGAGAAGCTGGCTTTGGTCACCAAAATGGCCTCACTCTATCAATGACTCAGTGTTGGCCAGTTTCCCTTAGGTTAGTACCCCACAATTTATCCAGACAGCAATGTGGAAAGGCACAGGATCTTAACTGTTAGACAAAAGAAACAAAGATTTAGAATATACTGTCAAATTATCCACATTTTGGTCTTAGAGTTGTGACATGTTATGTTTTGTTTAAGGAGGTGTTTGGTGAAGAGAGGTGGATGGAGAGTTAAAGTTACATGGAGTTAACTCTGGGTTGGCGAAGCAAAGTTTCACCTCAAAAAGCAGTACGCTTTCTCAAAAGTCAATTTTATGATTTGCAAGGAAAATTACTTGAGGAGTTCAGGTCTTCTCAAAAAGAAGAAGAGGCCAAAGAGGTAGGAAAGTGGGAAGATTCGGAAAAGGAAAAGCAGATATTCAGACTCACACCAAGAGCAGCTGCACTGTTCCTAACATTTTAAAGCTTTTTAGTACGAAATACAATGCACATTCAGAAAAACGAGCAAAACAAAATATATAGCTCAATGATTTGGCAAAAGAACATTGTTACTCATGACCCAAGTTAACGAATGATATTGCCAACTGCCCAGAAGCCATCATACACCCTCCCAATCGTCACCCGTGTACCCATGAGAGTGACCACTTTCGCTCTGTTGGGGTAATCACCTCCTGGCTTTCTTTTATAGTTTGACACCCAAGCATCATTAAGTATAATATAATTTATTTTCATCTGCTCTTTGAACTTTGTATTATATACATGGAAACACAAGCATGCATTTTTT